AATCAATTTATACTTTTGAATGCCCCATAAGCTTTATGAAAAAATACCAGATTGATATCAACTATATTTCTGGAGAACGCTACAGTGAAGAATACCACAGAAAAACCCTATTTCTTTTCCCCAAAGTTCTCACCTCTCACATCTGCTTGGTACCAATATCAACACAATTAAAAATATCAGAAAGATGGAATGTTTGAATTGTCAACAATACAAATGTTACAAACAGTGGTGGGATTCAGCCAGTTCACACCACTTCAGCAGAACCAGTAGCTAATTTTTTGTTGCCTAGGCCCAGAATTGACTTCCGGAAGCGGCATCCATACAGAACCGGTTGTTCACATATTTGAATCCCACCACTGGTTACAAAGTGAAGCTGATTTTCGTTTCTAATGCCATCACCTAATCCTGAAGATTATAACAAAGCACTCATCATGTCTCCAATCTTCATTCTCTAGTTGTTTTGACAAGATACTGTGGTGACTGATATTTGCAGTTTAAAATACTTCCATGTTAATATAAAAAGGAGGATAGTTTCTAGTAGAAATTTATAGATAGCATAATATCTTCTTTAGTTTGGGATTCTTCAGGTTCTTTGAGATTATATCTTCTATCATCAATCATCTATCAATAACCATCATCAATGTCCATGCTAATTGGATTTCTGGAATAGTAATCATAATATCCTGAACAGAAATGTTCCAGTGATACATTTTGGAACTAGAATTGAAATGAAATGGTAATGCTTGTGATTATCATGTGATAATTGTGATTATCACAAATTCTCAGGGGTTTTTAATGTATCAGTGTATTTCAGTACTTACCATAAAATGAAAAAAAAAACATTCATGGGTAGCTATCAAATGAATCAACTCAGTTCTACAAGATACTTCATGATATTTCAACATGCAAAAAAATGTGATATGTGGTATGTTGATAGATTAAATGAATGCTGGTATCTATATATTCTATATAAAGGCAAGCTAATGACCACCAAATATTGTGGATAGATTGCTATTCTGCAGCCAGCATGGATGATTGCATGGATTTGTGGGAGTTCTTGTCCAAAGTATAAATATCTGTTTGAGTATCTGCTATGAAGAAATGAACATAGATAAAAATTATAGTTGGCTATAAGTTCATATGTTTTAGAACAAATTTACAGGATATAAATTGGTGCTACAGATTATATAAAATTTACATTATATTATTAGCCCTTTTAATACTGTCCAGTAGATATAAGAATCTTCCCAGTAATTTTTCAATAAAGAAAAACTCTTTATTTTTGTTTAGGAAAGATATGCATCTGTTTTTATTGTACCCCAAACTGGGAATATTAATCATTTCCTTTCTAAGCAGATAAGAAAGTACCTGTATGTAATATAACATGAATAAATAAAAATAAATCACATAGGACTAAAAATGCATTTTGCCTAAGTTAGCACTACCATCTTGTTTTTTTATGAAGTATATAGTTATGAGATATGAAACAAAATTCCTGTTCAGAGGAGACATGATATTTTAATCAATCAATCAATCAATCAATCAATCAATCAATCAATCAATCAATCAATCAGACTAGAGCTGGAAGGGACCTTGGAAGTCTTCTAATCCAACCCCCTGCTCAAGCAGAAGACTCTATACCAGTGGTGGCGAACCTATGGCACGCATGCCAGAGGCGGCACTCAGAGCCCGGAGATGGCAATTGTCCCTCTTCAACCAGCCGTCTGTTAACTCGCCAAGGTCCCACATGGCCGGATGCATCCCAGCATGGCTAGTTTCTCTCCCTCCTGGGCTCGCATGGTCTCCTTTTCCCGGGCACGACCCATTGCATCTATGTTTCTCTGAATGCTGGCGGTGGGCTGCGGAGCCCCAGAGTGCACTGGTCAGCCTCCATGCACTTGCTGGCCTCTGTGTGCGGGGGCTGATGGTGTCAGGCAGCAGCCATCCTGGCCCCTGCCCCACCTTGCCCTGCAGCAATGGCATCCCTGCCCTGCCCTGCCCTGCCTTGCCTTGCCTCCTGCCCACCACCCCCACCTACCAGAGACCCTCTGGATCTCCCCCAACCTTGCCTGTTCCCCACAGGCATCCCTCCCCATGAGCAACATCGAGGTGACCACGCCCACCTTGGCCACACCCACCCAGTCTGCATGACCACCACAGCCACACCCACCCAGTGGGCCACACCCACCTGGCATCCGGCAATAAATAAGTGGGTTTTGGGTTGCAGTTTGGGCACTTGGTCTCTAAAAGGTTCGCCATCACTGCTCTATACCACAGGTCGGCAACCTGCGGCTCCGGAGCCGCATGCAGTTCTTTGAGGCTTCCCCTGTGGCTCCCAGCCTCCTCTGCCTTTGCAGAGAGAGACAGAGACAGAGAGAGGCAATTGCGCTTCCCTGCTTCTTTCTCTCTCTCTCTCTCTCTCTGTGTGTGTATGTGTGTTTGTGTTTGTGTGTGTGTGTGTGTGTCTGTCTGTGTGTCTGTGTGTATGTGTAAAAGAGAGTGCACTCACAGTATTCTCCGAGGAGCTGAAAAGCTTACTGGGCGGAGCTCCTCCCTTTGCTGCGTCTCTACAGGAAGCAGGAAGGGCAGGAGAGAGCTAGCTAGCCCAGTTAGGCTGACTCAGGAATTCTGGGAGTTGAAGTCCATGAGTCATAAAAGAGACGAGGTTGCTTATCCCTGAGCTTGTTGGACAACAGCTTGAAGCTTGCCAGGTGAGCAGCAGATAGGAGGGGGGGGGAGAGAGAGAGGGAGAGAGAGAGAGAGAGAGAGAGGAAAGAGAGAGAGAAAGAAAGAGAGCGGGGGAAGAGGAGTGGCAGACCAAGGGCAGATAGAGAGGGAGGGAGAGAGAGAGACAGAGAGAGAGAGAGACCCTTTTGACATCTAAAATGAAGATAACACTGCATATATCCTTTTTTAACCTCTGTGTGTGTGTGTGTGTGTGTATATATATACACATACACATACATAAATACATATACATATATATATATATACACACACACACACATACATACACACACAAACACACACACACCTATAATAAAGGTAAAAAAGGATATATGCAGTGTTATCTTCATTTTAGATATCAAAAGGGTTTTGCGGCTCCCAGTGTTTTGTTTTTGGTGGGAAACGGGTCCAAGTGGCTCTTTAAGTGTTTTGGGTTGCCTACCCCTGCTCTATACCATTTCAGATAGGTAGTTGTCCAGTCTTTTTTTAAAAATCTCCAGTGATGAAACAGCTACAACTTCTGAAGGTTAGCTGTTCCACTAGTTAATTGTTCTCACTGTTAGGAAGTTTCTCCTTAATTCCAGATTGCTTCTCTCCTTGATTAGTTTCCTTCCGTTGTTTCTTGTCTTGCCTTCTGGTACTTTGGAAAATAAGTTGACCCCTTCTTCTTTGTGGCAGCCCCTCAAATACTGGAATACTGCTATCATGTCACCCCAGTCCTTCTTTTCTCTAGACTAGCCAAACCCAAAACCTGCAACTATTCTCCATATGTTTTTGTCTCCAGGCCCTTAATCTTCTTAGTTGCTCTTTTTTGCCCTTTTTCCAAAGTCTCTACATCTTTTTGTAATGTGGTGATCAAAACTGGATGCAGTATTCCAGGTGGGGTCTTACTTACTTTCAATCTTTTACAGCAAAAAAATCCTTTTCTGTCTGATTTTGTTTTGCTATACAATGCTGTTCAGATAGGCTTTAATACTACAATAGCTTGGATTTATCCCATTCTAGAAGAAGAAGAAGCAGGGAAAGGAGGAAAGGATTTGTGTGTGTGTGTGTGTGTGTGTGTGTGTGTGTGTGTGTATGTAGACATCAGTTGGGGCATGCTATTGATTTGACTTTTCTAATGTGGATAAACAAATTGGTATGCTTGAGAACTGAGTAGCTTTCAAATATCATCTTTGAATCAGTAACTTTTTCTACTGATACAACATTTTGTGCTTAGGTAAAAAGATGAAAACATGTAGCTAGCACTACCTTGAAATGAACCATATGTTAATCCCAGAAGTGTTGATGAGGTTGTAGAGTACAGATGGTCCTCTACTTTTGATTAGTGACTATACAAAGTTATGATAGACCCACCAAAAACTACTTATAAAGTTTACAAAGTTACAACAGCGGCACACACCCTCCCCACAGTCACATGATCACATTTTGTGTGCTTGGCAACCAGCTCACCTTTACTGCCATTTGCAATGTCCCCAGTCACATAACTCAGTTTGCAATGTTTTTTACTAGTTTCCGTCAAAAAAGAAAAGCACCTATTGAGGAAAATTGATTTGCTTAATGACTGTGGCATTCACTTAAAGATTCTGGGCTCAATTATGGTCATAAGTCAAGGGCTATCTGTATGTTTATATCCCAACACAAGATATATTCTTCCCTTGGGATAACCATTAGCATATCTTCATTGATTATGATATAATGAATCTAAAGCACGTAGCAGACTCATGGCATGAATAAGTGTCCATGGGAAGCTTATGAACAAACATTTCAATTTTCCATTTTTTTTATGGAATGGAAAACAGCTCAACTTTCTTGATTTTATTAAACCTTGCTCACTCTCCTTTGCTTTTCAGTCTTAATGATTTTAGTATCTCTTATCTTTTGCTATCTGCACTTAAATGTAGATAGGCAATGAGAGGTCTTTTTTCTCTGAACCATGCAGCCAGGATTTCATCATTGGATGAAATCAATTATCACAAGTAGACACTTGAAAACTATAATTTCTTATCCTTGTGTAGATTTCGTTTTGAGGATGAACAGTGAAAATTGAAAAGTCGGTGCATTGTGTATTTAAAAAAAAGTGTTTTAAAATAAATTAAGGCTATAATCCTATGTTCCCAGAACAGACATGCTTAGAACAGCATTGTAAATAATAATCTTGTTCATATTGTACTTATTGAAACTAGTACTGATATCTTTTTTTTTTAAAAAAAGGAGGACAATATTGTTAATAATGGAATAAAAAATAATTTTCTTTGTACTCCCATCTATAGCTGGTCCATTGGAGTTGCCTCTTTTTGAATTGATACCATCACAGAAACAAGTGGTTTTTCATGGTGATCGCTTGCCATTTCAGTGTACAGCAACGTACCTCGACATTACGACACAAGTACATTGGTATCATGATGGTCGCTTGGTTGAAACTGATGATGAAAGAGGCATGTTTGTGGAGGAGACCATAATACATGACTGCTGTTTAGTTACCCGGTAATGTATTTTTATTTATGTATTTATTAATATATGTGTGTTATATGAGTGAGATTGTTTATGCTATGGTTTTAACCATGTGAATATTGGAGCCTGAAAAGGTAGTTCTCCTATCAGTATGTTGATAAAAAAAACACTTGCTAATTTATTAGCTTCCCTTCATATTCAAGCAAAATATGAAGAAGCCACTTTCTAGCAAACACAATGCATTTAATACAGGCAAAAAATTATTTAATTATTGAAATTTGTTACAATATATGTCAATAATATCAAATAAAATCAGTGATCCATAAACCCCTTATAGCACCTATTGAAATGATTTTTCTTTGCTTCTTGATGCAAATCCAAAACTATCCTGCACTAGAGAAACCATATATGTTTCTTGCTCATCCTCAGATTGGCTCTCTCCAAATCCAGTTTAATCATAAAAGGGGAAATATTGATTTATTTTTTTCTCTGGGTGCTTATCTCAGTGTCTATGCTTTTTGTATGTAGAGTACTGTGATTAATTAAGTAGTCAATAAAATATGTCCCAGATTTGTATACTGAATATTAAAATGCCCCACTGTCAGACTTTATAAATAAATAATTCTATTATAGAGTAATTCTATAATCCAACTTTGGACAGGCTGTGCCATAATTTTGCATCAATAACTGGAGGAGAAAGCCAGATTTTTTTTCTCACTTAATTTCTGTTATGTAAATTATGAAGTGCTGGGTTGGTTTTGGCTTATATTAATCTAAAGATTTAGATTACAGATTAATCTATATTACTCTGGTTTCTAAAGCAGCAATTATGACTCAGATAATCTTGTTAAAATTAGCCATGCTATTAAAATACTATATGAACACTTTGCTCAGTGTCTCCATAGATAAAAATAAAAATAGAGCTAGATAAAAATAAAAATTAAATTTACTAAAAAATAAATTAAAATAAATAGGTAACTTAAAATGTGTTTATTTTTCTTTCTTATTTATTCATATCGTGGTACCATTTCTCCAGTAATGGTACTTTGCCTGAAATATTAGTTGACATTCAGTTATTTTGTTCTTCACAAATAAATTCATCTCCACATTACTTACAACTTTTAAAAAAGTCTTTTAGCATTTGCTTTCTATGTGAGATACTTTGGAGGTGGATAGGTTCAGCAACAGTCCCTGCTAATAATTCTCAAAGTTACGTGCATTGGAGCAGCAAATGTAAATGTGTTAAGATCCTGAATCATCATGGTTTATAAAGTTTTTATTGAATAATATGGTCTCAGAGCTATGAGGACCTGCCAAGTTGTTTAATTTGTGTGTATTTCCTTCATATCAAGGGGCAACTATTATATTCAGATCATTTTTCAACTGCAGGACACTGCAGCAATGAAATGTAGCAATGAGATATAGAGTGCTGAATTATATTCTTTATTATATGGTAATTATATTTTATGAGCTACAGAATTGATTTGATACATGTTTAAAAATGTCAAACATGGAACATACTTAATATCGCAGCATGTTAACAAGAAAAATCATTTTGTGTAAAAAGATATGCTAGATTCCAGCCTAATTACATTTACAGTAGTATAAATGAAACCAGTTCTTTTAGGCTTGACTAAGTTAAGCCCTTCTAAGGTCAGTGGATTTATTCCAAGATCTGTTAAGATCAGATCTAAATCCAGTTAATGCTGCTAATTTAATTGATTCCGTCATCAACCACTGCTTAAATTACAGTGTTGTTACACTGACGTTAGCTCCATTTTTGGAGCTGCACCATTTTATATGTAAAAGAAACGTAAGCTATTAAACTGCAATTGCTGACTTCTTTATTATGGTGATTACATAAATAAATGTGATCAAATTACAATGACTTGAGAACATATAAGACAACCAGATTACTCCCCTCTTGGTATTCCTGTAGCTAGTTACCCTTATTTGTTTGATATATGCAGGCATTTCAGGAGTGTTCACTAACATTACACTTCAGAATTCTACTGACTATTTTTTAAAGCAATAGGTCTGGCATAATTCATAGTTCAAACTGATACGTCATTATAATGTTTTTGATATCTGAAAAAATAATTTATCTCTGTGAAACTCCAATTAGGGAGGTCTTTTCAGGTCACCCTTAACTATAGCTCCATATATAATCTAATTTAACTTTTTATTTTTAGTGTTGTCATAGAAACCAGAGCAGTATTTACTGTACACTTGATTGTTTAATACATATAGACACTTCTTTATTCTTTCCAATCCAGTGGATTACTGGAAAGAAATAATGTAAAGACTCTCAAGATTTTGCTTGCCTATCTTTCCCTGTCTGCATTAGTAAGATAAATCAGCAAGAAACAAAACAGAATGGGATCAAATTGATGGTGATAAAAGAAACTAGTCCTCTCCCCTAAAATAATAATAATAATAATAATAATAATAATAATAACAACAACAACAACAACAACAACAACAACAACAACAACAACAATAACCAACCTGAATGTGGCATGGATTGACTACAAAAAGGCATTTGACTCTCTGCCACATGATTGGATAATAAAGTGCCTAGAAATAACAGGAGTCAGTAGAAAAATCAGAAAATTTGTGCAAAGATCGATGGCACAATGGAAGACACAGTTGCAGATCAATGGTGAGAGGCTGGGAGAGGTTAATATCAAAAGAGGAATATTTCAAGGAGATTCATTATCACCATTACTATTTGTTATTGCACTGTCTCCTCTGTCAACAATACTGAATAACTCAGGACATGGCTATCAAACATCAAAAACATCTACCAGACTATCCCATCTCCTTTACATGGATGATCTGAAGCTGTATGGAAAAAAATCATCTGAAATAGAATCGCTGCTCAACACTGTCCGTATATATAGCCAAGATATTGTAATGGAGTTTGGCTTGGAGAAATGTGCCACACTTACTATCAAACAAGGAAAAATAGTGAAAACTGAAGGAATCAAGATGCCCCACGAAAATAACATTAAGAGTCTGGATGAGGAAGAGTACTACAAATACGTGGGTATCCTTCAAGCTGACAACATCAAGCACACTGAAGTCAAGAAAAAGATTAGAGGTGAATACATCAAGAGAGTGAAGAAGATCTTAAAAGTCCAAACTCAATGGAGGAAATACCATAAAGGCAATCAACACCTGGGCAATCCCAGTCATTAGGTACACAGCTGGAATAGTGGACTGGACTCAAGCAGAACTAAAAGCAATGGATAGGCAGACCAGAAAAATAATGACAATGAATCATGCCCTTCATCCACGAAGTGACATTGATAGACTTTATCTACCAAGGCAAATAGGGGGGCGTGGAATGCTACAAGTACATCAGATGGTTGAAGAAGAAAAAATGGCTTTGGAATAATATCTGAAGAACAATGATGAAGATGCACTGAAATTAGTATATCAGGAAGGCTTACTGACTACTGGAGAGACCAAACTGGCCTACAAGAAAGACCAAATGAAGAACAGAATAGAGGCATGGGAAGACAAAGCACTACATGGCCAATACATGAAAAAAAATAGCGGGGAAAGCAGATAATAATAAAACCTGGCAATGGCTAAGAGCAGGAAAATTGAAGAAAGAGACCGAGGGACTAATTCTGGCTGCACAAGACCAAGCCGTAAGGACAAATGCATACAAAGTCAAAATTGAGAAGACAGCAACAGACAGTAAGTGCCGCCTATGCAAAGAAGCTGAAGAAACAGTGGACCACTTGGTAAGCTGTTGCAAGAAGTTTGCACAGACTGATTACAAGCAGCGGCATGACAAAGTAGCAACAATAGTGCATTGGAAGATCTGCAAAAAATATCATTTGCCTGTAAGCAAAAACTGGTGGGATCATAAAATAGAGAAAGTCATAGAAAATGATAAAATTAAACTGCTCTGGGACTTCAGAATTCAAACAGACAAGCACCGCAACATAACACCCCAGACTTAACAATTGTCGATAAGAAAGACAAAAAAGTCTGGATAGTGGATGTGGCAGTGCCTGGAGACAGCAGAATAGAGGAGAAAGAACTGGAGAAGATAACAAAATACAAAGACCTACAAATAGAAATAGAAAGACTGTGGCAAAAGCAAGCAAGGGTAGTACCAATAGTAATAGGCTCCTTGGGTGCATTTCAAAAACAACTGGAGCACCACTTGAACACCATTGGCATTGACAAATTCGCTATTAGTCAAATGCAAAAGGCGGCCTTACTAGGAACTGCTTCCATCCTGCGACGATACCTGTAATACCATCAAACATCCACATCTGCCTATCCCAGGTCCTGGGTAAGGACTCGATAGTTAGACAAAATGCCAACTCCAGTCTGAACATCTGGCTGACTGTGCGATGATCCATAATAATAATAATAATAATAATAATAATAATAATAATAATAATAATAATAATAATAATAATAATAATAAAAAGTTCGAAGGGACCTTGGAGGTTACCTAGTCCAGCCCCCTACTCAGGCAGGAAACCCTATACCATTTCGGACAAATGGCTGACCAGTCTCTTCTTAAAAACTTCCAGTGTTGGAGCATTCACCTCTTCTGGAGGCAGGTTGTTCCACTAGTTAATTGTTCTAACTGTCAGGAAGTTTCTCTTTAGTTCTAGGTTGCTTCTCTCCTTGATTAGTTTCCGTCCATTGCTTCTTCTTCTGCCTTCAGGCGCTTTGGAGAATAGCTTGACTCCCTCTTCTTTGTGGCAGCCCCTGAGATATTGGAACACTGCTATCATGTCCCCCCTCGTCTTTCTCTTCGTTAAACTAGACATACCCAATTCCAGCAACCCTTCCTTATATGTTTTAGCCTCCAGTCCCCTAATCATCTTAGTTGCTCTTCTCTGTACTCTGTATTCTTTCTAGACTCTTTCTAGAGTCTCAACATCTTTTTTACATCGTGGTGACCAAAACTGGATGCAGTTTTAAGTTTAAAAATTGGCAAAATCCATCCAGATGCTTCAAAGAAAAAAAAATACAATTTTCCCTCCCTTTGGGAAATG